AGCAGTGTCAGCCTGAGCTGGCAGACTTCACGTGTGTCATCCTGAGCTGGCAGACTACAGTAGTGTCAGCATGAGCTGGCAGACTTCAGTAGTGTCAGCCTGAGCTGGCAGACTTCAGTAGTGTCAGCCTGAGCTGGCAGACTTCAGTAGTGTCAGCCTGAGCTGGCAGACTTCAGTAGTGTCAGCCTGAGCTGGCAGACTTCAGTAGTGTCAGCCTGAGCTGGCAGACTTCAGCAGTGTCAGCCTGAGCTGGCAGACTTCAGCAGTGTCAGCCTGAGCTGGCAGACTTCAGCAGTGTCAGCCTGAGCTGGCAGACTTCAGTAGTGTCATCCTGAGCTGGCAGACTACAGTAGTGTCAGCATGAGCTGGCAGACTTCAGTAGTGTCAGCCTGAGCTGGCAGACTTCAGTAGTGTCAGCCTGAGCTGGCAGACTACAGTAGTGTCAGCCTGAGCTGGCAGACTTCAGTAGTGTCAGCCTGAGCTGGCAGACTTCAGTAGTGTCAGCCTGAGCTGGCAGACTTCAGTAGTGTCAGCCTGAGCTGGCAGACTTCAGTAGTGTCAGCCTGAGCTGGCAGACTTCAGTAGTGTCAGCCTGAGCTGGCAGACTTCAGTAGTGTCAGCCTGAGCTGGCAGACTTCAGTAGTGTCAGCCTGAGCTGGCAGACTTCAGTAGTGTCAGCCTGAGCTGGCAGACTTCAGTAGTGTCAGCCTGAGCTGGCAGACTTCAGTAGTGTCAGCCTGAGCTGGCAGACTTCAGTAGTGTCAGCCTGAGCTGGCAGACTTCAGTAGTGTCAGCTGAGCTGGCAGACTTCAGTAGTGTCAGCCTGAGCTGGCAGACTTCAGTAGTGTCAGCCTGAGCTGGCAGACTTCAGTAGTGTCAGCCTGAGCTGGCAGACTTCAGTAGTGTCAGCCTGAGCTGGAAGACTTCAGTAGTGTCAGCCTGAGCTGGAAAACTTCAGTAGTGTCAGCCTGAGCTGGCAGACTTCAGTAGTGTCATCCTGAGCTGGCAGACTTCAGTAGTGTCAGCATGAGCTGGCAGACTTCAGTAGTGTCAGCCTGAGCTGGCAGACTTCAGTAGTGTCAGTCCCTGGTGATGGTGGAGAGTGTCTGATGGTGGAGAGTTCTTGGTGGTGGTGGAGAGTCCTTGGGGGTGGTGAAGAGTCCCTGGGGGTGGCGGAGAGCCCCTGGTGTTGGAGACTCCCTGGTAGTGGTCGGGGGTCCCTGGTGGTGGTTGGAGAGTCCCTGGTGGTGGTGGAGAGTGTCTGGTGGTGGTGGAGAGTGTCTGGTGGTGGTGGAGTGTGTCTGGTGGTGGTGGAGTGTGTCTGATGGTGGTGGAGAGTCCCTGGTGGTTGGTGGAGAGTCCTGGTGGTGGTGGAGAGTCCCTGGTGGTGGTGGAGAGTCCCTGGTGGTGGTGGAGAGTCCCTGTTGGTGGGTGGAGAGTCCCTGGTGGTGGAGAGTGTCTGATGGTGGTGGAGAGTGTCTGATGGTGGTGGAGAGTGTCTGATGGTGGTGGAGAGTGTCTGATGGTGGAGAGTGCCTGGTGGTGGGGAGAGTGCCTGGTGGTGGAGAGTGCCTGGTGGTGGTGGAGAGTGCCTGGTGGTGGTGGAGAGTGCCTGGGTGGTGGTGGAGAGTGCCTGGTGGTGGTGGAGAGTGCCTGGTGGTGGAGAATCTTTGGTGGTGGAGAATCCTTGGTGGTGGAGAATCCTTGGTGGTGGTGGAGAGTGTCTGACAATGGAGTGTGTCTGATGGTGGTGGAGAGTCTTTGGTGGTGGTGGAGAGTCTTTGGTGGTGGAGAGTGACTGATGGTGGTGGATAGTCGCTGGTGGTGGTGGAGAGTCCTTGGTGGTGGTGGAGAGTCCTTGGTGGTGGTGGAGAGTCCCTGGTGGTGGTGGAGAGTCCCTGGTGGTGGTGGAGAGTCCCTGGTGGTGGTGGTGGTGGTGGTGGTAGTGGTGGTGGTGGTGGTGGTGGTGGTAGGGGTGGTGGTGGTGGTGGAGAGTGCTGGTGGTGGTAAGTGCCTGGTGGTGGTTGAGAGTCCTTGGTGATGGTGGTGGAGAGTGTCTGATGGTGGTGGAGAGTCCTGGTGGTGGAGATCCTTGGTGGTGGAGAATCCTTGGTGGTGGTGGAGAGTGTCTGACAGTGGAGAGTTCCTGGTGGAGGTGGAAAGTGTCTGGTGGTGGTGGAGAGTTCTGGTGGTGGTGCTGGAGAGTCCCTGGTGGCGGCGGAGAGTTCCTAGTAGAGGTGGAAAAGTGTCTGGTGGTGGTGGTGGAGAGTGTCTGGTGGGGGAGAGTGTCTGGTGGTGGTGGAGGAGAGTGTCTGGTGGTTGTGTTGGAGAGTGTCTGGTGGTGGTGGAGAGTCCTGGTGGTGGAGGAGAGTGTCTGGTGGTTGTTGTGGAGAGTGTCTGGTGGTGGTGGAGAGTGTCTGGTGGTGGTGGAGAGTGTCTGGTGGTGGTGGAGAGTGTCTGGTGGTGGAGAGTGTTGGTGGTGGAGAGTCCCTGGTGGTGAGTCCTGGTGGGTGGTGGAGTGTGTCTGGTGATGGTGTGTATTGGTGGTGGAGTGTGTGTGTTGGTGGTGGAGTGTGTTGTGTTGGTGGTGGAGTGTGTGTGGTGGTTGTGGAGAGTGTCTGTTGATGGTGTGTATTGGTGGTGGAGTGTGTGTGTGTTGGTGGTAGAGTGTGTGTGTTGGTGGTGGAGTGTGTGTGGTGGTGTGGTGGTTGTGGAGAGTGTCTGTTGATGGTGGAGTGTGTGTGTGGTGGTGTGGTGGTTGTGGAGAGTGTCTGTTGATGGGGGAGGAGAGTTTCTGGTTGAGGTGGAAAATATCCATGGTGGTGGAAAGTGTCTGGTGATGGTGGAAAGTGTCTGGTGGTGGTGGTGGAGAATGTCTGGTGGTGGACAATGTCTGGTGGTGGAGAATGTCTGGTGGTGGAGAGTGCCTGGTGGTGGTTGTGGAAAATGCCTGGTGGCAGTGGCGGTGAAGAGTGCCTGGTGGCAGTGGCGGTGAAGAGTGCCTGGTGGCAGTGGCGGTGAAGAGTGCCTGGTGGCAGTGGCGGTGAAGAGTGCCTGGTGGCAGTGGTGGTGGAGAGTGCTTGGCGGCAGTGATGGTGGAGAGTGCCTGGTGGCAGTGGCGGTGGAGAGTGCTTGGTGGCAGTGGTGGTGGAGAGTGCTTGGCGGCAGTGGTGGTGGAGAGTGCCTGGTGGCAGTGGCGGTGGAGAGTGCTTGGTGGCAGTGGTGGTGGAGAGTGCTTGGCGGCAGTGGTGGTGGAGAGTGCCTGGTGGCAGTGGCGGTGGAGAGTGCTTGGTGGCAGTGGTGGTGGAGAGTGCTTGGTGGCAGTGGTGGCGGAGAGTGCCTGGTGGCAGTGGCGGTGGAGAGTACCTGGTGGCGGTGGTAGTGGAGAGTGCCTGGTGGCGGTGGAGAATGCCTGGTGGTTGTGGTGGTGGTGGATAGGGTCTGGCGGTGGAGAGGGTCTGGCACTGTCCAGGCACTTGCCATCGTCCCTTCTTGTCTGATATTCGTTACTGGTTATTACGTGCCTTAATTGTGGTCGTGATGGGCATTTTGTCAGTTCGTGTCAGGTGGGGAGGGGGTTGAGACCTTGTCAATATCAGCTGTATCGATAGGTTTTCGGAGGCCTTGGTGAGTGATGGGGTTGCTTGGTGAGTGATGGGGTTGCTGGGTGAGTGTTGGGGTTGCTTGGTGAGTGTTGCTGTTGCTTGGTGAGTGTTGGGGTTCCACTTGTAGGGTTGCTACTAGTAATATGACTCCAGGTTGGGGGTTGGAGGCAAACCTCTTACCCGAGGGGTAGGAGGGTTGGAACCTGGAGTTTGTGGAAGTTTTTGGTAAGAGTCCCTGGTCTTGGGGACTTGGTGAGAGAGTGAGGGCTGATATGGATGTCACAGCTCCGACCTAGTGGTAGCTGAGCGGTAGTTGTAACTAAGGGTTTTTACCTGGTGGAGGCTTCTTGAGGTGGCTGTGACAACTGCTGAAGTAGGTGTGATGATGATGCCGCAAGGTGGGAGTGAATGTACGGTAGGATCGTAGGATACTAATACTGGTGTGTTACAGTCAGTTGAGAGCACTCCTGTGGCTCTTTCGAAAACTCCTAGTGAGGCACAACTCCCGTCTTTATCCTGCCTGGAAACTGATGAAGTCTAAGCGAAACGTCGTCATAAGATTTTTTCTATGTGCGAGTTATTTGTGTATTGTTCAAGTCACGGTATTGTGCCTTTTTGCTCTTAACGATGTCTTTCTCAGCGGATTAAGTTGTTGAACGGCCTGTGTGAGGGACTTTTCCTAGTGCCCTACTGATGAAGGAAGGTGTGACTATAGATGTGGTCTCGGGTGTAACAGACCTGCCCAAGTGGATGCTGATGTGTTTATGTCTGTTTAGCATGACTCGGAGGTGGTGGGCATGGAGAGGATTTAGTCTTTGGCCCCTCGGACAGACAGGACAAATAGAAGAATGTACTCTGGGGCGCACTCCTAAATGATACAATTTGTTTGATATTAGTAAGTGGAATATATGGCAACTATTTTGTTGGGGATGCGTCCCCAAGCGTGTTGTCTACGGGAAACAATCATGTGGTGCTATAACTGGTTTGTAGCTACAAGAATTCAAACATTCCACGCCTCCCTTCCCAGTGATTTTATTCCTCCGCTCCGTCTAGGACGGCATGAACTATCAAAGTCCGGTTTCTGAATGAATCGTCTGTACGTTATCTGATAGTGACGACTTGAAATACAGCCTACTGCATGGTACAGGTTTATGATGAAGCACTGCACGTGAAAATGTACAAGAACATTGGAAAAGGATATACCTGAAGTATACCTGGAGAGGGTTTCGGGGGTCAATGCCCCCACGGCCCGGTCTGTGGCCAGGCTTCATCTCCTACAGATATTTCTGATGGTGAGCCTGGAAGGGCAACCCTCTGGCGTAGTCGCCCTGGAAATTGAATGTACGGTTGTTGACGGAGGTGGAGGTGTTGGAGGCGGCAGTAGAGGTCTGTTGCATGGATAGTGATGTTCTGGACGATACTCTTTTGGACTGGTGGGTGGATACCTTAAAGCTGCGGATACGGCATTTACTCGTTAAAGCAGGAGAGTCCTGCCGTGCCTTGGTGGGATACCAGGACGAATACCTACAGAGTTTGTGTGATCACATGCTGCTGAAGGATCCGGTAGGGTTCGTGGAGTTTCTCACAGGAATATCCTTCTTCGAAGCGCAGCTTGATTTGTTTGATGAGATGAAGGTATGAACACGTTTAGATTCCTTCCTGGAGCAGGAGCTGCCCAGGTCGTTGTCATCGATGCGCCGCTACGTCATGTGAATGATGTAATTACGGCTGGAGGCAGGCTGTCAGGCCGTGGCCGGGGTAACGGAATTGCTTATAAACGCAGTGTAAGTTTCTGGATGCAGATGATCGTGAGGGGAGGAACTCTGGTATGTACTCCAGACAATGATGATCTACTGATGGAATCCTACGTTGGACTCTGGCCTGAATTATAAAATATATTTGTCCCGTGGCCCGATAGGCAACGCTCTCGCCTCACACATTGGGCGTGTTTCCTTATGCTGTTCCCGTTCACCTAGCAAGGAAGTAGGTACCCTGAAGTTAGTTGACTGGTGTGGGTCGCATCCTGGGGGACATGATTGAATATCCCCATGGAAATAAGACAGACAGTCCTCGATGACGCACTGATTTTCTTGAGTTTTCATGCGTGGCTAATTCTCCGGGTTAAAAATCCGAACAAAATCTTATTTCACCTTAATAGGATTCTGGCTAATCACAGTGCCTGGGTTCAGAAGAGGTCAGATCGTTTTGGGGACTGGCGCTATATTGTTCTCCAGTGGGTTGACTACGACCTGTTGACGAAGATCGGTAAGACTCATCATCACTGTGTACTCCTGCAGCTGATCTCAGCTACTTAATATATGGTGTTGATCAGGCGGGTGGTAACTATGGGAATCATCTAAGCTGCGGAGAGCACGCTGCTGTTGTGGGTTTGGATTATGAAGATGCTGCAAGAAGGTGGATAACTTTTCAATCTCTTTCAGTGTTTAGGTTTGAGGGGCTTGGATGGTTGAGTGGAATCGATTGTTGTGTGTCGGTGGCGCAGGCAAGTTGTTACTGAATGGGCATCTGCAATGAATGTTTAAAATGGAGTGTTGAATCCTTCAGGGGTGCCCTGTGCCATTGTTAAATGCGATGGTGCAGAAGTCGCTGGTTCTCATTCTCGCGTGGCTCCTGGTTGTTCCTCGGCTTTTGTTGGCGATCGATCGTTCCTGAAAGTCTTTGCGTATGCTGGTGATAATGTTCTCTTGAGTCACCGTCGGGTCTTTGATGCGGTTTTGGAGTATGTTTCAAGCAAGGTACGGGAGACTGGTGAGAATCTAAATTTGAGTTAATGTATTCTTCTGGAGTAAGGACCGGTAAGGAAAGGGACATTGTTATGGGTGGATTGTGTGGCGAACTCCATCATCTTGGTCGGCTTCACTTTTAGAAAGACGGATGCTGAGATCCGGGACTGGACATAGGAAGGTGTAGCTTTAGGGAAGCAAAAGTAGCTTAGAATGTTACAGATGTTAGCAATGTACCAAAAGATTTGAGCTCTTTTCGTAGTTCCTGTAGTCAGAAGTTTGGGAAAACATGAAATCTGTCCGTGCTCCGGAGCAGGATGTGTGGTGTTTTATTTATGGAATCTTGCTGTAGTACTACGTGCTGCTGCTGTACAGGAGATAGATAGTCGGTCTGGCTTGTGGCATCACAAGGTGAAATGCTCTGCACATTCGTTTTTCCAGGTGGATGACTGTACAAGCGAAGGTTGTGTATGTAGTGGTGTTTTGGTTATATCTTGTAACATCGCTCAGACTGCAGATTCTACTGTTCTTCAGTGCACTCCTGGTGAAGAACCAGGAGTTACATGCCATCTATTGGGTCGCTTGGACGATACTGCTCACAGAGGGTGTGTTTGTGGTGTTGGTGTCGGTGGCCTGGTGTTGGTATCAGTGACCCGGTGCTGGTATCAGTGACCCGGTGCTGGTGTCAGTGGCCTGGTCTAGGTGTCAATGACCTGGTGCTGGTGTCCGTGACTTGGTGCTGGTGTTAGTGACCTGGTGTTAATGCCAGTGACCTGGTGCTGGTGTCAGTGACCTGGTGCTAATGTCAGTGACCTCGTGCTGGTGTCAGTGACCTGGGTCTCTGACACACACACACACACACACACACACACACACAGTGTCCAGAGTTCATGGTTATTTTATGAGCCATTCGGACCAGTCGTTTCTGACAGCAGTAGTGTAATTGTCAGGGATGACGTTACTGTGTGTGCTTGATAATGTCCGCGTTACCAGGCCTGACCCTGTGCTCTCTCTCTCTCTCTCTCTCTCTCTCTCTCTCTCTCTCACACACACACACACACACACACACACACACACACACACGCCCGGGTATACAAAGCAAATTTGATAGACATCACCAATATACAAATGGTGTAGAAAGCAATACCGAC